CCCCCTCGCCTCTGTCACTGAAGAAGATGTTGGAAACTGGAAACAGCCACATATCCTAGGAGACGAGCATTGCCAAATGAAAGAACATTGAGTTTTCACCAAGTCCAAAGAAGAATGCAATAATTGAGCTCTCTCTGCAAACTCAGGGCATTGATGAACTTTTTAGAGAAACTTTTTAACCTAAAGCCAATTTTCCTTAGCTTGGACCCAAAAGGCGGCTGTTTCTTGGCCTAACTAAACCAACTTTCTACCTCTCTGCTCTCTGTGTATGCTTGGAGACACATTACTACCCATAATCACAGCAAGACACCCTCTTCTTGTTGAATTTATGAAGCTTTTCAAGTTTAAAAAAATGCTTAAACCAGTGTCAGGAAAACAAACAGAATAAGCAATTCCACCACAACCAAGAAAACCAAACTAAATGACTGTATTCAGATAAACTACGGTGAACTAAACAACAAAATAAACATTAAAACCAAAGGTTACTTGCATTCATTTTCTTTGTGAGTGACATATTCTTCAGCATTAGTATTGTTTTTTTCAGCACATGAGTATAATCATTAGGTATGGGGAAATTTTTTCTGCTGATCAAATTAAGTTACTTATATAGTCACTTTGTGATGAAAAGAGGAAAAAAGAAAATATTGTCTTAGGAAGAGAAAAGACAATCCAGATGAAAGACCCATGATTGGCTTATTAAGATTTCCACAGAACGTGTAAAATCCTGTACTCACTCTATCAATACAGGTCAGTTATTACTGTCATTAGTCAGCCAGATTGACTGTGGCATCTGCTGTCACATTTAATCTATTTGTTTCAAGAAGCTAAAGTACTTCAAAGAGCTCACGTTAAGAAACTCTAGCCCTAACTAATAAACACTAGTCTTACTTAGCAATATTGGTTACTTTATGCAGAACATCTGACTGTTTTACGTGCATTACTTTATTTAAACCACACAGTTGCCCAAGAATGTGTGCCAAGCATTTAATATTTGCTTTGTAAAAAAAAAAGGACTAAATAAGCAAAACTCTATTTTCTTAACTAGCACAGTAAACCTTCCAGTTTGATTCATCAGAGATCAACCTAGACAATGAAGAAAATGGTGCTTTCAGTATCAGAGGTTGGATGGGCCACCACAAAATGCTAGTGTTAGGATGAATTCTAGCAAGGAGAGCTCACCTCAAGGGACTTCTAGTAACAGTTCATCTTATTTCTCAATTATCTTCAAAGTGAACAAAACCACTTTTCTATGAGAAATAACTCTTAAAATATTGTCTGAGCTGATAAAACAGGATCAGATGAATGGGGAGGAGGTCCCCCCATTAGTGGACTTGGCAAGGAGCACGGTGGAGATGAGGGAGGGAGGGAGGGACTGGGAGGGAATGAGGGGTCGGGACATGGCTGGGATACAGAGTTAATAAAATGTAAAAAAATAAATAAATATTGTCTGAGAAGACTTTTCAATATTCTTCTCGACTCTATATACTGGAAATGTTAAACCACTTAATGGAAATGTCAAATACATTTTGTCATCACATTGAAAGATTCTTCTCTGCAATATTTTAAGTAATTAAGTTGGCTCACTTGGTGCTCTAGATTCTATCCCTGGATGATTATTTATACAAAAATGCAGATACGAAAATGGCATAGATATTAACATTGTGTGATTGGCCAGTGCTCCTGTTGCTGCTGTCCATTGGACAGGTGCTTGACAGTGGTCAAATGCAGCCTTAGCTTGTGCTCTATCCACAAAAACAGACAAATGTGCCCCATAGGGTCTCTTGAACTGAAAAAACAAACAGAGGCTGGAAAGATGTCTCAGTGTGTAAAATGCTTGCTACATTAGCATGAGCTCTGGAGTTCAGATCTCCAAAACCCAAGTAAAAGACAGGAAAAGACAGGCAGATTCTGGGGGCTTGCTGGCCAGTCAGTCGAGCAGAAACTTCCAGTTCACTGACAAACCCTGTCTCAAAACTATAAGGCAGGGATGAGATTAAGGCATTCACTCACTCAATGTCAGCCTCTGCTCTCCACACGTAAGGACCCAGAACACACACAAACACCACAAAGTAACTTTATCAGAGTAGCACGCTTTTCCTCCTCAAAATCTAATGATGTTAGAAAGGGACGAATTGCTATGGAAAGAAAGTGTAATCTCTTGGACAAACTCATCTGCACCAAAGACTGTTCTGATGCAGGTGAGTGTGCACTCCCAAAATTGCCATTCTCTAAGCTTTGGGTTGCTTTTTCCTGTGTTTGAACTATTCTTCGGAGGCATTTGTATACATAGCTTCCTCTAGTGCCTCTCCCACTGTCATCCCCAAGATCACTCACAGTCTTTTCCTCGGGGAACTTCCAAGGTCTGCGTTCTTGACAAATGCTTGTCTTCTGTCTTTAGGTTACAGATTTCAAGAGGAAGAGGAAATTCCTGTGAGCCTGTCTCTGTACCTACCAAAGAGACAGGCTCACAATAGAGTGGCGGTTCCCAGCCTTCTAATGCTGTGACCCTTTAATGCAGTTCCTCGTTTTGGTGGTGACCCCAACCATAAAATCATTTTTGTTGCTACTTCCTAACTGTAATCTCGCTACTGATATGAATCACAATGTAAATATCTGATATGCAGGATGGTCTCAGGTGAACCCGATAAAAGACCCCTTAAAGAAGTGGAGACCCTCAAGCTGAGAACCACAGCAGTAGGTGAACCTGTCTTTCACTGGTAATAGCTTATGTAAATGAACTGGGAGCCTAACCTCTCTGGGAAGCATAGAGGAATGTAGATTTCCCCCTTATGGAGGCAGTTGTATGTTCTCCTATTGGGTTCAGGACAGGATCACAAAATAAATAGATAGATAGAAAGATAGAAAGATAGAAAGATAGAAAGATAGAAAGATAGAAAGATAGATAGATAGATAGATAGATAGATAGATAGATAGATAGATAGATAGATAGA